GTGTGCCCTGCAATGGGCTGGCCCCCCATCCAGGGTTGTTCCCTGCCTCGTGCCCATTGCTTCCGGGATAGGCTCCAGACCCCCTGCAGCCCAGTAGGATAAGCAGGTTGGAAAATGGATGGATATTTGTAGATGTAGTTTATTGGTGATTTCATGTTTGCTGAAGTTTCCGGTTTTTAGCAATAAAGTAATGTTATTTGATATATAAATCAACTCGGGTGAAACAAAAAATGTACGTTTTCAAGGTTGCCAAATATCAAGCATCTGGCCAGACACATGCTTTCAAAAGCAAAAGGTTTTGATCTGTACTGAGTTAATTTGATACTGCAATGTTGATACAACTAATAGGCTACTTAAATATATCAAACTAAATAGTTAGACATTACGATCTTCTAGAGAAATTTTCTCTAACTGGACCTCTTTAAATTTTAGTTGAATACCCAAACCTTACACAAACTACATTAGTTATGAATGTATCTTGTCTCTGGAAAACGTTTTTGTCTCGTTTTTATTCATTGATGAAAGGGTCAATACACTTTATCATAGTCTTAGGCCATGCAAAATCATTTTCATTTAGTTATCGTCTCGTTTGAAAATAAAGGTAGTTGACGATAACTATGACAAAAATTTCTCGTCAACAAAATTAACACTGATTCACACTGCTATGTTTTTGTTTAAAAACAGAAAATGAAATTCATCCAGACAGGTGTTTCCACCTCAAAAAGTTATGAAAGTGGGTCCATCCTGACTGAAATGAGCAAAAATGTATATCACATAGCTACTAGCCAATCCTGGGCACCCGCCCATCAACGTAAACAACAATAGAGACTGGCAAAAAATCTTTTTGCACAAATATGCAGCAGTTACACTGTAACATGCTATGTAGCTGTATACAGATCAGCAACAGGGAACGTACCATTGAAAGCAGCTGCAAGAGAAACAGGGGAAGACTTTCAGGGGCTCAGACACTAGTGATTAGGGAAATGGAACGATCCACCCGCCGGTGCCCCCCTGCCCCGACAACAAAATGTATCATCAGGGTTAAAATGCATATCAGTACTGAGATCAGTACCTATGATACCAAGCTTGGTATTGGATCAAGTCAAATCAAAAAGAAAACCAGTAGTATCACCCATCCTTACTGTTTACTTTGTGTAGTATGACCAGTTCAAACAAGGAGAAGTTGTAACCAGCAGGATCAATTGAGGGAAGGGCCACGTGATGATTCAATTCCAGTTAGGGAGCTTTTAGAATCTGTTTTTAATGTATTTGCCATTCGGCAAAATACTTCCCATGATCCCAAAATCCAGGGCCGAAACTTAATCCCTCCCCTGTGTACCAAGTTCATGCACAACAGTATGCATGGACTCAGACACACCGCGGTTGCCATTATGCATGTTATCTAATTTGGATGTTTTCTAATGGCATAGCTTGACCCCCAACAAAAAATAAATATATTCAAGTCTACTATTGTAACTCAGCATTGTTTTCTACTTACATCTGTACAGAAAGGACACTTCCTCCACGATCGTCACAGACAAGTCTAAGCAAGCAATGTTCTTTGCTGCTCCATTGGTCTTGAAGAATAGCTTAGCAACCATCACAGAATATATTATGTCATCTGGGCACCATTTGCCAACAGTCTCATTCATACTGAAGATTCAGACATACTGCTCATGTCGCATACTGTATTTCGCCTGCTACATAGCAGAAAAGTGTGATTTCAGACACACTCACCATTTTTCACTAATATTTTTTTTTTTTTTTCAGAAATATATGGCTTTCATTTTCGGAGGTTGAAAACTACAGGATGGTGTGGACGTAGGGCAAAAAGGAAGATTAATGTGTGCATTTTTAAACACAAACATAGCAGTGTGGATGTAGCCTAAATGTTCCCCTAGTCAGTGAAGAAAGGAGATCTATTAAATTAATACTTAAACAAGAATCATAATTTTAAAAGGGTTACTTAGTTAGTAGAAAACGATCCATTAAGTGTATTGATTCTGACTTAATTGTGTTTATGCTGACCTGCATCTGTTTTTTGTCATTTAGAAAAAGAAGAACCTTTATTTGTTTATTTTGCCAGAGCAGGTCCCACCCACCACTCCCCAGAAAAAAACATTTGGTTGTGCATTGTAGTTATTTTCAGCAGAGGAATGACATTACGTTCTCAGGACGAACATCAGCACTCACTTTGGCAACGTTTTTAGGTGATTCTCCCGTAGCTCCAGAATGCGTAACTTTGATAGTCTGAAAAGGCATTTGAGATGAAAAAGTAAACATCAAAAAAGTTGCAAACAGGTACTTTTTCAGCGCAGCCATTAACGGAGCAAATGCAACTTACATTTCATGGTGTGCTTACCAGCAACAAAACAATCTGATCCAAGTAGTGCTGTGTAAATAACAATGGGTTTCTTTCCGGGTAAAGAATCATACCTCATTCAGTGGAACGACATCACTCAATTAATTTAGTACCAACCTCTGCCGAATAACGGTGCCCATTACTTTTGATTACAACACAACTGTAAGGTGTTTCAGGATGTAACGCTAAAATATGCCTGTCACTCTGAGGCCCCCTAGAGGACGGTGGACCCATCCGCCTACAGCGCCGTAAGCCAGGGAGCAGCGCCAGACCCCACGAGCGGCTCTCACCTCCCGAAGTTGGCCGGGAGGTATTCCAGAAAGGCATCGTTTAAGAAGAGCTGCGTCAGGTTGAGGAGCTGCGTGAAACCGTCCGGGAGCCTGAGGGAGAGGCGATGGTCAGGGTGGCGAGTTTCCCCTTAGAGGCCACAAGCGACGCCAGACTGTCCTAATCCCACACAGCTCTCTGTGTGCCAGGCACTGCCAGCACCTTCACCCGCACGCCATCGCGGCGGAACACCACCAAGGTCTCCTTACAAAACACAGGCCCATTTCCCAAAGCCTCATGGTGGATTAGCTCTGAATTTATGCTTAAAAATATGTCTCTGCCCCTCTGTCCTGCACAATTACAGCAAACACAAATCTCCAATTCCATTATAACTACTAGTAAGAGGAGCCAATTCAATATTTAATGCACTGTGTTCATACGCCTGTCGTTATTTTGTAATTTTTAATAATGCATGGCCTTTTAACGTGCGTTCAGTGAGCAGGGTCATCCAAGAGGAAAGCACTCGCTGCAGATCAGTCCCTCAGCATACTTCCAGAAACATCCTGGTGCTCGTTCACTTACTTGGTAATTGGATTGACGCTGGCTTCCACAACTGTTAGGCATTTACAGCATTTAATGTTATCGGGGAACTCTTGAATACCTAAACACAATATAAGGCATTACAATGCAGCAATGGCAGCGGGCTTCAGGAATATAGGCTATATGCACATATAGTGTTACAAATAAATATCCTTGCAGTAAATTAGTTTAGAAATAAACACGGTAATACTGCTGATCAAATACATATTGTATTGAATTAAACTGGACTAGAGGGGATGATTGGTCCATAAACCCTTGATCCATGAACCAGTTTAAACAGCTGTACAGTTTTCAAGTTCTTACCATTTTTACTGATGTCTAACTCCCTCAAGTTTACAAGGCTAGCGATGGTGGTTGGCAGGTTGGAGAGGTCATTGTCGGGAATACTCAGTTTTCGGAGCGCTTGACAGTTAAACAGTTGCTATAAAAGAGAGAGAAATCCACTTAAACAGAGGTCGAAAGACCATTAAAGGATGGTTTATTGTCATTATCCTGGTAGTGGAAAAATATAATCACTCTGCAACTGTATCTAACATGCATCTTGGGAGTCTCTAAACAACATCCTGTTGTGAAACTGCACCCAGAAATTGAGCTAATTGATAATGATACCAGAGCACAAGAAAATTTCTAAAAACATCCAAAGGAAATTGTTTTATTGCAAAGGGTTGGCAGCCCATCCTGGGTTGTTCCCCTGCTTTGTGCCCATCGCTTTTGTGATTGGCTCCAGACCCTCTGTGACACTGAATAGGACAAGCGGGCAAAGAAAATGGATGGATGGAAATTGTACAGTGTGCAATGGATACAGAAAAGGATCACCCCCTGTCAACAAAAATAATTTTTGTCACTTTACAGTCTGAAATGAAAACACAACAGAAATAGCACCTGTCCTGAAAAATAATCCTGAATAAAAAACAAGAATAATTGAGATTGAAAAAGGATCACCCCCCTGCATCAATACCTTGAGCTACTTTTGCTTTTAACAGAGTCTGTTCAGACATTTCTCTACCACCTTAACACACAGAGCAGTATTTGCCCACTCTTGCCCACTTAGAGTAGCTCAGTCAGATTGGATGGTGCCTGTTGGTGGCCTGCAATCTTCAAGTCAGTCCACATACTTTCAGTGGGGATTAGGTCTGGGCTCTGACTAGGCCATGCAGGGACACTCCTCTTTTTCTCCTTCAGCCTCTGGTCAATATGGCGGTGTGCTTCGGGTCGTTGCCATGTTGAAAGGTGAAATATCTTCCCACCTTCAAATTTTCTGACAGGGGGCAGCAGGTTTTCTGCAAGAACGTGATGGAATTTTGCCGCATCCGTTTCCCCTTCTATCCTGCCAAGTGCTTCAGTCCCAACAGCAGTGAAACACCCCCACAGCAGGACGCTATCCCCCCCATGCATTACTGCAGGCATGGTGTTCTTTGAACACTGAGGTATATTGGCTTTCAGCCAGATGTTCTGTTGGGCACTGAGACCAAAAAGTTTGGTCTTGGTCTCATCTGACTGTGGTACCTTTGTCCACTTAGCCTCAGAATCTTGAGTGTCTTGGCAAACCTCAAACGAGACTTAATGCGGCTTTTCTTGAGGAGTGGCTTTTCCTTGCAATTCTCTCATACAAGCCAGATTTGGAGAGCACCTGTCACATACACACAATGACCACTCTTAGCTATGAAGTCCTGTAACTCCTTCGGAGTCGCCATTTGCCATTTGGTAGCCTCTCTGACCAGTTTCCTCCACACTCTGCCATCCAGTTTGGACAGACAAACTGATCCGGGCAGGAGTTGGGTAGTACCAAACACCTTCCACTTCTTAATTATGGACTTAACCATGCTCCTAGGGATAGATAAGGTCTTTGAGATCTTTTTGTACCCATCTTCTGATTTGTGTCTGCGCATAACATTGTCTCAGAGATCTTTTGAAAGTGCCTTTTCACCCATAGCAACTGGAATGTTCCAGGAGCAGCTGCTCTTTTTAACTACTCATAATTATTACAGCGGATCACAGCTGGGAGCAGATTACCTTGGTGTGTGATCCAGAAGGTGAATGACTATATCTGATTGAGTTTACCTGATTGAGTGCTGTTCTTGGGAGTGTGGGGGCAGGGGGGAGGGGGGAGTGATCCTTTATCCATTTCAATCATTCTTGTTTTACATTTTAAATTATTTTTCATGACTGTCGATATTTTTTATTTCACATTGATATTATCAGTTGAATTGAGTAAATAAAGCTGGACAAATTCAATTCTTTTGTGGTTTCATTTGTCTGTAAAGTCACAAAATGTGAATTTTTGACGGGGGGTCATTTCTATACCCACTGTACCTTAAACAGAGAACTTGCACTCCAGTGCAATATTATTTTGATACATCCTTTGATTGATATTAATTCAAACCACTGCTAGGTTTTGATTTTTCCCAGATTGAGGTGCATGGTTTAATTCCAAAATCCAAATCGCTATCCAGACTCAGAGTTGGAAGCCAAGCACAGTTAGATCAGATGCAATCAGAGGGAGAGAAAAAATCAAGGCAAGAGATCAAAAGCCAGAGAAAACCAAAACCACCACTCAACCCATAACTCAAAAATGAGAGATGAGACTTCACAGCAGGACCTGTATCCAGAGGGTTCAAGAAGTCACAGGTAATATGGAACAGGTTTCTGGTATTGTAAAGTTTGTGCATATTCCTAATTTGATTGTCATATTAATATGTAATACAATTAATCAGCATTAATATAAATTAGTCCTGAACCACTTTTTGGTACCCTGATCTGATCCATTCAATATCTTCTGATTCCGAATCCCAATCCAATCTTAAGATAAACAAATAAATGATATATATTACACACACACACACACACACAGACAAACACATATATAGGAGACTGCTTGTCAATTAACTTTTTTTTTAACTCATAATAATTTGCCTTTCAATTTATTACTACTTGAATGATTTAGAACTACAGGTCTAATGTGATTTTTTTTTATATAAACAAATGAATAAAGTAATGATTTTTGTTATGAAACCAATAAACTTGCAGTTTTTTTTTACTGAATTAAGCAAGCATCCCACCTTGGACAGGATGCCAGTACATTATCAGTACATACAAATTTACACATTAACTGCGTGTCTTTGGACAGCACAAGCAAACCCAACATAATACAGGAAGAACATGTACTGTAGATCCACAGACACTAGATCTGAGGTATGAGGCGATAGTGCTACCTACTGAGCCCCAAAGCTGTGCTTCGGCTTCATATTTTCTAAATTACCTATCAACTTTATGATTTCTGCTGAACATTCTTACATTTTGATGAAAAGAAGAAGTTCCTCAGGTTATTTGGACATTTTACTGTTTATGCTCGACCCCTGCACTGCTTGGTATTGAATATACAGCTGCGATAAAAATTAAGAGAGCACAGCACAATTTTTTGTTTCACTCATTTCTCAATTTATGGGTGTTCGACTGTGAATAATACATTTTGCAAACTGCACCCTGGACCTTCTCTGTTTCTCATTAATGAAGGGCTTCTTCCTTGCTTAATGGACTTCGGTCCTGTTTCTAGAAGCCTGATATGAACTGTCCTAGCAGTGCACTTCACACCTGCACTAAAAGTTTCCCAATATTTTTGACGGTCACTTGATGTCATCCTTGGATTCATGAGAAACTGTCAGATAAGTTAACAGTCATCTCTGGCATTAGAAAGTTTCCCCTCTGCTTAGCTGGTTTTTGGTTATTCCCAGTGTCTCCTGCTTCACCTTGTTGTTGGGTACTGCTGTCTTAGAAATTTTGAACCTGGAAGCATCCTGCTGTTCAGCATAACCTTCTGCCAGCAGAACCATGATTAAACCAGGATTTAAAAATGCAGATTTGTTTAAAAATGTAGAGTGGTCTCTTAATATTTTCTGTGGCTGTAAGATGTCAGTCCATTCGGCAGCCACCCAGAAACCTTCGCTTAACTGCCTTTTCCTTACATATTTCTCTTGCCCTCCTTAATTCCCTAATTCCTAGACAGGACATGTGACTTTTCAACATGAAGGTTTCTTTGGAAAGCAGGGCAGCAATCATGGCCTCGTCATCATCTTTCAACAGCATTTAATAAGAGCTGAGTAGGAACAAAAATCACGGCAAAATAACAGACTATAATAAAAAGGTTATGTTGGGGGGAAATAATCTCCTGGATGATCATCCTGTGCAATAATATTTTAATAACTCCCAGCCCATTGTCCCCCCCCCTCACCTTGGGCAGCTCCTCTATCTGGTTGGCATCCAGGTACAGCTCCTCCAGCGTTCGCTCAAAGCTGAAGATCTCCTTGGGCACCTGCTGCAGGCTGCAGTGGGAGTAATCCAGCACGGAGATGACCTCCTCCTCGCCGCGGAAGCATCGGCAGGGCACCAGACGGCCGATGATCTTCCTCTTGGTTGTCATCTCCAGAGACTGCACTGACAAGGCAGACAATCAGGATGAAAGGGGAGTAAGGTTCAAGGGTCAAGATGCATCACAAATTCATCTGGAATGCAGAAGAGTTCACAATAACATCACATGACTCTGTAGATTATATCTTGTAGATTTGTAGATCATAATACGCATATGAACCTGATGATTAGGTCAGGCATTTCAACAGAAAATGTACAGTTGACCTGTCCACATCGCGGGGGTTAGGGGTGCAGGCCCCGGACAATCTGGGAAAACCGTGTAATATTTCTGGTCCCCTTGGTGAGCAAAGCGAAAGGAAGTGAAAAGATTCCCATTTAATTTCGCATGAAAACCCCGCCATAAATAGAATGGAGTCACAGGAGTGCCATAAAAAGAATAAATCTGTAAAAGAATAAGGAAATAAATGTTGAATAACAAAGTGAAATAAGTACAAATAAAAATAAAAGAATAAGGAAAATAAATTAAAAATAAAGGAAAAAGAAAAATCATGATTTTCTTTATAGTTTTTGGTTTTACCATTTTGCTTTTAATTTTATCATATTGCTTTTAATACTGTATTGCTTTTGCTACATTGCTTTCAATTGTACCAGACTGCTTTTACTTTTACCATACTGCTCTTAGATTTGCGGTATTGCTTTTAATAAAGGAACTAGCTGCCAATAAACTGGCTTTAGGCACGACTTCCTGCCCAGGCTGAGTAGTCAATACCAGCACACATGAATCCTACTTTCTACTTGTTTTGTGCTCAAATCAAAAATGGAAAAAAACGGATAACAAGCATTCACATTTTGTTTTGTTTTTTTCATCTGACACAAGAGGCGTAACTTACAGAAAATGTTTTAGTTAAATTGTGGTCATGTTTTATTAATGTTGAAATGTGGGCATGTCTTACTGAAGGCACTTTCACACTGCAGAAACTTTTTCTGAAACCAGAAACTTTTTCTGGAACCAGGGACTTTTGTCATGTTCATACCACGGGAACTCAAATTGATTGTAGTTCCTGACAGGCCGTATCTACTCCAGACTACGTCATTGTCCTTCGAACAGGAACTACTGGGGAGCCGCAAGGATGAACTTGCCGACTGGTTGACGACAAACACCGGTGTTAACTTGGAAGTAAAGTGGAAGTGCAGGAAGAGAGAAGTAGTGGAGCAAAAATTGAGCAGATGGAATTATTTTTGTACCTTTACATTTTTAATATATCAATTAAATTTTTTGCATCAGAAAATTCAATCTAGGCTATACCTAATATACTTTAATCTAATATGAAACCAATCAGTGCTTATCAGTGGGATCACAGTACATTGTTTTGTATTCTGTGGAAAATGAAAGATCCATCTGCTGTCCAGGTATAATAAGAATCATAAATATATGTGATGGGTCCTTTAAGTAAAGTATAAATAAAAACCTGCATCCCATTTTGATCGCAATCGATCCCCCAATAACTAACAAACAACTAGCTAACAAAAAAACTTACAGTGGAAACTGCTTATATACTGTAGTGATCTCGTCTGTCTGGGTGACATTGATCACTATATGTGGATAATCATTACTTTTAACAATACGGTAACAAACTTTAAGTTTAAGTTTCCAGTCAGGACTGTAGTTTGGCTATAGCTACTCAACAAACAACATACAAAAAAACCTAAACATGTATATTACCATGATGAAGTTAGTTGAACTTATGAACAACTACAAGATGAATATTAAAGAAATCATTGTTATTTTCATTCAGAACATCAAGACCTATCAAGTTATCATATTGAGTACTCAGTTACCAGCCAAAACCTGCATACAATCTTTAAATAACTAGGAAAAAAACATACCTGGAATGTTCCTAATATCAGCCACAACTGATCTATGACCAACACAGCACCTTAGGTTAAAGTACCACATTTTTTAGTCAGTGTGGTGACACATAAATAAAATATATGGATAAAAATGAATTAAACATAGATAAAAGTCTCCTATCTGAACATCATATCCACACAACCGGCAAGACGACAGTAATTAATAACAGCAAAAAAGTTATGGATGTGGCAGCAGGGATGATGTCTAGCCTGGGACAAAAAAAACCAACCACAAAATGTAACTAAAAACCAGGAGAAAAGGGGGATCTACTGTGTCTGAAAGGAGAGAGGGACTGACTATCTTGGTCACAAAAGCCAGGGATATTCAGGGACACTCCAACACATTAATTCCACTGAGGGAGATAAGGCAAGAGAAATAGCAGAGGAAAGGAAGCAGGCTATTAAGATACAGTATTAGTGAGGTAGGAGCACTTAAGTCCGACTCTTTCCTACACTATTCATGACACTCATATAGTCACAGAAACATTACATCCTGTATTGTAGTGCTTTATTGCAATGGCAGTACTGACCAATAGACTGGTTTTTAAGAAATACTAAGTAATAATCTCGGGCATTAAAGTTTCAAAGAAGCTTACATATAGTGCTGAATGTATTCCCAAAATGAACCAAAACATTGCCCTGGCTTAACAAATAAACAATGATACTATATACTGTTATGCATTGCACAGAACTGTGGTTTATATAAATATATGCAGTAAGTATACACACACACACACACACACATCGGATAAACATATCTTTATGGGGACCGCTCATTCATTTCTATGGGAAAAATGCTAATGCTAACTATGACAACCTTAACCCCTACCCAGCCCTAACCATAACCATAAGCAACCAAGCAAAATACAAGAGTTTTTGCATTTTCTGTTTTTTTTATTGTAGTAACAGATTTTTATTAAATTAAGTTTACCCTTAAAAAAAATGGGTATTCATCACGTGGACATTTTGTCACCATAAGGTAAGGTATACCCGCTCTCACACATACACACATACACACAGTAAATATATACAGTGGTACCTCAGAACTCGAATTTAATCCGTTCAGAACTCCGGATCGAATCCTAAAAAGTTCGAGTTGTGATCGAATTTTCCCCATAAGAAATAATGGAATACCAGTCAATTGGTTCCCGGCCCCAAAAAAATACACCTATTTTATTTTTATTTTTTTTTATTTTTTTTAGCATTTAGACACAAAATGAACCAGATAAAAGAAGAAGAGCATTTACTGTACTAAACCCATCTACGCACATTTATCAAAACAGTAATTTGTAAAGTAAGAACATAAATGTATCCAAATAACATGTAAAGTTAAAAAAAAAAAAACAATGTGTCCTGCCCCAATCGTCCGCTCCTTCCGTGTGCCACGCCCCCTCGTTAACCTCATGTGGAATCCCCGTGAGATCAGTTGTTTCAGGTTGTTGTCATTAGTCCTTTGTATTTCGTCTGGGTTTTAGTTTGTTTCCCCAGTCCAGTCATTATATTGTCCGTCTGTGTTTTGCCTACCTTACCTGTAATTAAACCCCGTATTCCCCGATACCCTGACGTCTGCGCCTTTGTCTCCGTTCCGTCCCTGCTCAGCACGACGATATTATTATAATTAAATGTATGAATGGTTTATTATTAATATTAAAATAATTAATAAGAAATCTTTATTTTTAAATGTATTTTATTATATAATAATAATTACTGTTACTGTCTATCATTGTCTAAATGTATTTTTACTGTCTAAATATATGTATACAGCTAGTGTAAACATGCAGGATGCTATCACAGCGCATGCGAGGCTTAGACTGAAGCGTTACCCTATGTTTCAGCTGACAGACGTGCCGCGTGACTCATTTCCCCACGCGTACAAGTTATCTTAGGTCGGCGTTCACGGTTTGACTTCTGAGATTCAGATTGAGTTCTAGTTAAATTTTTTTCGAACTGGTTGGTTCCACTTTTAAGAAATTCGAGTTCTAATGAGTTCGAGAACTGAGGTACCACTGTACTTACACAGCATCCATGAGAAATGCTTACCCATTAACAAGACATACATTCATCTACAGTATACAGTCATCAATAATACGTAGTGGAGAGTGCATTCCCTGGCATAAAGGCTGTCAGACAAAACCAGCGTAAATAATATTCTGTGCTGCTAAATTATACAGAGAACCTACTGAAATGTTTCCTTTTGAAATAAAAAAAACAGTAATAATTTTCAGCTTCACTTAAATTAATACTGAATTGAAGTGGTCTGGCAGCATAATTCATTCACCATCACAATGTCCAAAGTTTGTGGAAGAACTGAAACTGCTTAAATTACAAGAAGTTGTTTCATTTTTCTCAAGGAAGTACCAGTCCAGCCCAGGGTGCTATGGAAACAGTGTGACGTAAGTGACAATTCTGCATGGGCGAAAACACCGACTTGCAATTCAGGCCTGACTTTAATGAAAAACTCCATCCATTTGAATATCCTTGGTTTTGACAGGGCCATTTGTACTGATTAAATTCCATTCTGCTCTCTGATGCTAAATGACTTTGAGGAAGAGGAGAGAGCAACACTGGAATTCTGTACAATTTATTAGTTAGTTTTTGTGGGAAGAGGTACATGCAGTGAAAATGCTGTTCGTACTTTTCAGTTTCCCCGTGCCGTTTCAAATCTCCATCTCTACAAATTTCCAGACCGATTTATCTGCAGTTGGTACAGCGTGACCGTTTGCGGCAGCCAGCACGCTCAGTGTACTTGTTAAAAATGCATGCCTATCCAACAGCCGAATTCCTCAGGGTCAGCTATGAGCCAACATGACCTGTGTGGTTTGCAGAAGCCGCAAATGGTTACCAAGGTAACAGCTTCCTGGGGTTAAAATGTATTTTTAAACGGGCAATTTTAAATTCATCTGACGGTCAATATAGCATATAGCACTCTGAGAAGCCAACAGATTAATAATGAAAACAGAATTCACTACAAAGCTTTTAAGAATGTATCGTCTCACCATTTTTATAAGAAACCAAATTACAGCAGAAACGAATGAAGTCCGAACATAAGCATTATCATTATAGCCAGCTATAGTAAATATAATCTTTCTTCCATAACCACTTATCTAGTACACTGAGCCTTTCCCAGAATGTTCAGGGCAAGAGATACCATGGAT